TATACATAGCTACTTAAATTAAGAACGCTGAATTTTTCATGAACTTTTTGAATAGAAAGTTTATTAGTATTTATGTAATTTTTCATTTCGTTATGAAAGCTTGTGCATATACCGTGTAAATATAGATGAAGTGTATAAGTGCAAATGTATATGCACATTCGTTAATCTTACCAACTTGTATGTATGTATGCTTATTTATTCACACACTTTATTTTCTTTTGACATCACATCATTATCTATATATTTTTAATAAAGAGAAGGGTAGTGTACCTTAAAAAATAATTTGCATAGATGATTAATATTGACATAAGTGCATATTTACAAAAAAAAATAAGAAATGGATCATTTAATAATTCCTCACTTTATTTTCTAAATCAATTCTTGATCTGATAAAAGCACGAAAAAAACTAATTGTTAAATTAAAATTTGACGTTGAAGTTGGGTATTTTAATTGTTCTCGCAAATTAATTTGGGACGGTTCAAAAATTACGTAACACAAAAATCGCAATTTATCAAGGCTCCTCCCCCTTTAACGATAACCTTAGGCCCACTGTCCCCTGCACGCTCTCCCGTTACGTAGTTTATGAACGATCCCCTTCCGTTAACTTTAGCTGACCGAGTTCCCCCGAATGTCATACTTGAAATAGGGAGGGGCTATATGGACATCACCCTCCTTCAGGGTGAAGTCGAGCTTATTCTGCGCCACGAAGGTACGGATCGTTTGATCCATGGCGGGAGAAAACTGCAATATGGAGAAAAAATTGAGTAAAGCAACCGTTCATAAAATACGTTCTGCACTTTTAGAAATCTAGTAGGAAAATGATACCAAGATAGATGATTTTCTTACCTCGCAATTTGAAAGTTCCACGTGACATCGTTGCGTCAGGTTTGCAATAACATTTTCCAACCTTTCTTTCTCATTGGGGGCAAAATACATATATTTCCCAAATCGTGGAATACGACCATACTCTTTTGCAACACGGGCGTTAAGGGCCAGATTTCGCAATGCTGTGTACATACATAATGACATTAAGGATATTAATTACTTACTTCTTCGTATCCTTATTAGTATGAAATAGTTTACGAAGAAAAACAAGCTTTGAAAAATTCGTAACCTTAGTAATGCGATCTTTCATGACAAAACATGACCACGTTTACAAAATCTCGTAGTTTATTTTACAATACGAAGAATACCATGGATACGAAGAAATGATAAAAATGCACTCTAATCCTGTTCCTGTATGGGAGCGTCCGTAAATTATGTCACGCACAACGTCGAATTCTCAGACCCCCGCATGACACCCCCCAGTTTTACATGTGGCGCAAAACCGCCCTGTTGCAAAACTTTAACTCACTCCTTCCCCTCGGCCATGACATAAATTATGCACATCCCCTTAGTCCAAGGATCCACTTATTACGTACCTGGCTGTCCGGAAATATCAAACATATCGAGACAATCGATCAGGTTGGTCAACCTGGGGGGAAATGGGGATATAATAGTGACCCTTTTTAATCTCAAACTTATCCCTAGTGCCACCACGACGGAGGTCATTTCCACTAAAAATGTATCCCCTTCGTGTACCCGTTGCTTATCAATCTCCACCGTGAGGTCCTGCACGTGTCGAATATGTTCTTCGAACCCGACGTGAAGATAGGCCGGAATGGCATTACCGATAAGGTAAAATTTTGTCACGGTACTCGGCACGTGACCGTGGCCCGGCGCCACCCCCAAAATTTGCACGACATCTGCGTCAATAACTGTCGGAACGGCCCACGTGTTGCAATCATTGGCCAGCACGAGTTCCGCTAATCTTGGTACGATTCTTCTAGACATGCTTTCGCCGCATTTGAAGACGTCAATCCTCCAATTCTTGAACTTCTTGAGCCTCCCCATTCCTTCTGGGGGGAAGGTAAAGCCACTACCCGCGAGGGTAGCAATTTGCCTCTTATAGTCCAAAGTGGCGCTCAATTCGAGTTCTTCGAGCGAATTGCGCGCCGCCTGGAGGAGCTGGGTGAGACTGGACAATCCCTGAAAAGGGAGTCGAACCCTATCCGACCTTCGGGGGTTATACCAGTCAAATCTGAATTTCACAAGTTTAATAGTAGCGTGGGTTAAAGAGGGACAAATCGCATCGCGGATGACGAACTCTTTCAAATTTGGCGCGGCGGTGACGACCGTTTGGAGAAAGGATTGCATCAGGTGATGATTTGACGGGATGGCGGAAGAGCGGGAAGGGAAGTATGACTTTGCATGGACGCGAATTGAGTGAATCGTTACCAACTTTGGTTTTACCGGAAGCCAGGCTTGACTCGGGGTGACGACCGGCAAGTCCACCGGTAAGTCGATCGAGGACCGTAAACTGTTTACCGTAGGGTCGATTAATGACGACGAGTTTTTTTAAGTTGGGGGCATACTGGATAAGTAAGTCGTGCAGGAAGGGGACCACCTCGGCCATCCCGTGGACGGAGACGAACTCGATTTCGGCACTGAAGCGGGAAAATACGTAGCGCACGTGCGACGTAATTGGAGGCCCGCGAGAGTTGAACTGGAAGAAGATGGAGCGCGCTAATTTGGAAGAGACGAAATTGGCACAGAGGGCGGTCAGGGCTCGAATCGGGACGACGTCGCCGACCCGGGTGGGTATGCTAGGGTTGAGATGGAACCGAACACGTGGGGTGGGGAGGGAGAGGATGAAATCGTTCCAGGCGTGGGAGACGAGGCGGAAGGTGAGGAGGTGACCCGTCCCGAGGGGTGAGTCTGGAGCGGGGGACGGAATGTAACGAAAAATGGCGAGGAGGATCTGTATTTAGAGAGGACAGAATCCAATAATTTTAATATTCATCGTATTTATTGATATCTTATGAGGGACGTATTAATATTTACGGATATCACGTTTCAAAATTTTTGCACATTATTTCCTCATTAGGTTTACGTATATATAAATACTTTCTCTATTGTAATACCAATTGGTTCGATAGCGCCTTTTCAGTAGGTGATGCTTCCTGATTCTTCGAGGTTTCCAGGACACGATGACTGGAGGTAGTCGGGGTCGCGGGAAGCGCATGATCTGCATCATTAATTATCAACCCACTATATCTAATGTTAGAAAACAAACATATTTTAGGTTAAATAAAATATGTATCACCGTTGGGAATTGAATCACCCATCATGTAAGAATTGATGCCCTGCTTGAGTGTAGAAGTGTAAAATAAGTTTACTGTTTTGTTACTTGGCCGAAATGAATTTTTATACAAATATTGAAAAAATTGTGAAAATGCAACCGTCGTGTAACGGTTTAACAATACGTCACTAAAGTCAAAGTTTTCCGTGATTTCCTTCACTGACTTGTAGCACCAGCTTGTGAAAGATGCATATATACACAAATATGCGATGCAAAAGGGCTCCTTTACGTCTCAGAATATCAGGGACTAAGCTGGTCAGGCCTAGCCCTGGGCATTATACAAAATTTTGCCCATCCAAAATATTAATATGCACAAAATAAATCTTACAAGTGTAACCACGGCAAGCAATAATAAATACAAAGATTGTATAGAAACGGTTTTATTAAAGCTGAAAAAATTCTAAAATGTGCTGTTCCCAGCAAAAATTTACTGTCACTTGGAAGCTTGTAGCCTATGTAACTGGGATTTGCAAAACATATTTAACTGCCACCGATCAAATACAATAAACTAAAAATTCGCAATATTTACATACATATAAATTTCGAAAATCATATAAATGATCCGGCCCTGCGAAAATTGGCAATCCTGCAGCTACTCACTTAGATTAGGCTCTGAAAAGTAATGTAACCCTTTTCAATAGTAAGTGCACTCAAAATTATCTGGTGTCAATCCAGCCGGTGAAGTCACAAATAGACACCGCACGGTGTTAATTGCCCGCATTAACACCGCGTGGTGTCTATATGTGACAACACTGCACTGGATTGACACCAGGTTATGTTGAGTGTGTACTCCGAATTCTAAATCCTGTAATTTACTTTAGATATAATTTTTCTAATTATTGCTGAGGATATATTTTGTGGCACTCTAAAAAACGCACTCTAAAAAAAGTTGTGTTAAATTTCAAGGTACAATTTCCTAAAAGAAGAAAATAACGAAAATAAATTTTATTTAACAATTTCTACAATTTTTATAAACATAGCGCTGGATAAATTTCATTTAATTTTTGCACCATCTTGTTAGGCCTTTTAAGATGGCCTTATAGATTTACCCAGATGTCTGTCTGTCCGTCCGTCTGTGCGTCCGTCTGTGCGCACGATAACTCTCTTTAAACCAAAGCTATCGAGTTGAAATTTTGCATGCTTCATCTTCGGGTAAAAAGTAAGGATGAGTTCTGCGATGGGCATGATCGGTCAAGTGGTTGGCCGGTGGGGGTCATTTCCACCCAAATGTGTTGCAATTAACTACCAAGATGGCATTTATGCCATCTTTAAAGGCCCCGCAAAGTTGCTTGGAGTAGGTTTTTTTAATTCAATCTTGAGTAAAGTTAACCTGATTTTATTTAGAGTGTGGTACAGCATGCACACAATTTTGAGAGCCACATACTTATGTATGTACATACCTCAAAAAAGATGGGCCCTAGGAACAAAGGGGTCATAAATACATTCTCTTTAAAAGCTGAAATTAGAACCTTCAAATTTTCAATCCAAGAAAAGGGTTAAATTGAGTAGTTAAAGCAAGAAAGGTGTAAAAGACTGCTAAGAAGCTAGGTAAGTATGTATGCACTTATTTGCTTAGATTAGAGTGTAAAAATAAAATAAGGGGCCATTCATAAATTATGTAAGGCAAAAAACTCGATTTTTTACACTCCCTCCTACCCCCTTTAACTTGTATCACATAGGCACATTATCATTATTGATTTTGCCCCCCACCCCTCTCGCGTTACATAATTTATGATCCGCCCATAAGACTTACAAACCCAGGGACTGGGCCTGAACTGGAAAGGTTAGCGTCATTTTCATTCTTCTCCAGTCTGCCTTGTAAGCACATGCTTACCGGAAACATTGTGCCAGTTTTAATTACTAAACTTCAATCTAATTCACATTTGCTCGGAAAAATGATGACCGCACGCCAACAAGTAGTAGCGATTCTAGTGTTTATGTTGATAAATGGGACAATTTATACCCTGATGTATCATTCTGGCAAGGTATGCACTCTTAACAATAATGACACCCTCTTGAAAAGTAAATGTGCCAGGATTCTAAATTAACCGTGCCTGGGACAGTGAATTTCTAAAAAATGATGTTAAGGGCTTAATTTTGGAGAGAATGGAAAACGGATCAGTAATTCTGCGGAGAAACCCATTCCCCACATATTTACGGATCCATTTTCCATTCTGTCCAAAAATGAGCGCTTAACATAATTCTTAAAAAATTGTTTTTGTGCCTGTGTCCCAGGCAACCTTAAGGACAGTATACTAAATCCAGAGTAAACTTTACTCCTTATCCAGTTAACTTTACTCTGGATTTAGTATAGTTTACTTAATTTAGAGTCCAGAGTGTAATAACTTTTCAAAAGGGTAACATTATTTTTAAGAGGGTAGGATCCCATTTACATCAATTAGCATTTTATACTTTATGGCATTTTAAATGACATAAATGTAAATGTCCAGATATATCGTAAGCAGTATCGAACCGTGCTCCTAGCTCCGTCACTACCTGCAAAGAATTCCACTTTTACACGAAAATATCAATTCGACATCATGGAAACGGCGAATTTTCACAACGAGGTCATACTAGTGTGGAGCGACGCCACTCCGATCCAGTTCCGGGGTAGCGATCAGACCGCCACGCAAAAGTGCGACTGGACGGAAGATCTTGAGGGAAGAAGGAGGCGACATGACTGTCTCAGGGTTACATGGCTGTTAGATATGAAGATTGAAATAGAATTTTGATAAAACGATGTATTTATTTGTGTGGGTTTTAATCCAATTTGTGTAAAATTTTGTTGATATTGTGGGGATTGTGAAATGAGGTATTTTAAAACAAATTGTGCATTTTGTGTTTTTTTATTTGCATTTTTTATTATACAAATTTGATGCAGAAGCTATGTACCTTTATCCGTAGTGACTGTACATAATGGCAAATCTCATCAACACTAAAATTTAGTGCGGATGAGAAACTTCAATGTTTACTGGAGAATTCGTAAAAAAACGTTAATTCGCAACGCACATATTTAGCACTGCATTTTCCATAACTACGACGTCTTCAATAAGCGCATTACTGTTGCATCATAAATATGCATACAATTTGAAGTTAAAATCTTCGCTATATTTCATGATGACAAGTCATGTGAGATATATTAACTTGTTCTACAGGTAAATATGTCAGTGTTTAGACAACAGGTACATAAATTCTGACTCAAAATATATCGAAGTCTCAAAAATTTTGAGACTTCGATTTCCACAATATTTCCATTAGGATTTTATACTGGAACAAATGGAAAATTTTTTGATGTGAAGTGTTTTTATGGGTTTGCACTCTGTAAAAATACTATATGTATGTATTTACCTACACATACGCTTATCTTTATTCATCACGTTGCACCAAAACCCATATCTGCATAAATATGTACGTACCTCTACAATCGGTTGATTATCACAATTTGCGATTTAAACAACATAAATTCACTCGCTGACTTCATCATCCTCATCCTCATTAAACGCAGAACCTACTCGTTCCTCGTCAGCTGTGCAGCAATCATGCCAAAATCGAAATTATCCCGTTCTCCCCCCCCCCCAATTAATATCTCCTCGTTAAAATACGAATCTTACAATGACAATCGCGGCGATGCTTACGGGGTCAGGCTCACCTTCACCGAACTAGCCTCGCATAATTCTGAATCTTCAACAATAATGTCGGAACAAGTCCAAATTCCGGAATCATTTACCGTGCAAATAATCAAATTTCCCGAACCCATGAGTTTCAGGTATACAAGCAAGTTCACAAATTATTACAAATTCCTCTACGAAAACAAAGCGAACCATAACAATATCCTAAGAATCGTACACTTTAGTGAAACAGTTCTATCGCTTCGCCAAATTAAGGAACTTCGTAACAAATTACCGAAAATAACCTTTCTTGAATCATTTCTCCGTAAAGATGCCTTTTTTCCTTGTAATTTATTAAAACATGAAGAATATTGGGGTACACTGGACTCCTGGATTCTGGATAATTCACCCCTCTCAAAATTACAATTAGCCCAAAATCCGCTCCGTTTAATGGAACTTTTAAAACTTCAAGTCGGCATTGTTCAAGGGCTCCTGGATGGTTTGACTTATCTGCATCGTGACCTAAACTTCGTTCATGGCTCCATTGGCCCAGAAGACATAGTGTTCGCCTCACCACATAGCAAACTTCCGGTAAAGTTATTTTTTGGCGGGAACAGATTAGGCGTGTGGCAGGGGCTGTGGGAGGAATTCTATTCGAAGGAAGGAACCATGGAGGGAGACATATTTGCGGCGGGAATTACAATTATGCAAATTACTCAGTTATTAAGCAGTCCCATAAAGCATTACACTGGGAGTGGCTATGGCTCTCCTAATTTTGTTCGGGTTGAAGAGCACGCTCTAATTGCAAACGTGAAAGAATTAATTATCGGCATGACACCGAGCCTGGGACGGAATGAGAGTGCAATTCCACGCATAATTAAGATTGAGGATGCAAAATTGCAAATAAGATGTTCACAAGAAGTTAAAAATAAGAGTGAAATGGAGGCGGAGGAAGAAGAATATAAATTGGAAACGGGACAAAATAATGTCGACATGGTGGCAAGACTTGCCAATTTGATAGAGGACCCTGAAGGGCACGTTTGGCTGAAACATTTAACTTTTTATGGCGATCCCCTTGGCAAGGGGCCTTTGGCTTTGTGAGGACGGCTTTTGATAAAAATACAAAGCGACATTCCGCCGTTAAAGTGATAACTGGTGTTAGTAAGCTAATGGAATCATCATGTGGTTCTGGCGAAGGTGCGGTTGAGCCAAAATTGGAATTTACCAATGTGGAGGAATGTTTTCATAAAAATTTGGTCAAATTGTATCGATTTCGTCAGTTTTTCGAACCACGTAAGCTCTCACTCTTAAAAATAATGTACCCCTTTCGAAAAGTAAATTCCTTAAGGTTATTCTGGGTGACTTATGGTCTAAACAAAATCCCGGAGGAAAAGACTTATCTATAAAGCTTTTAATCTTCTTCGGTTTTTACAAAAGCTATTCTTTTTTGATTTTGTAGGAAAATCAGATTTTTAATGGTGTACATAATTTGATTTAATCGTTTTAACACCTATGTAAATTTAAAATTGTATATAAATTAATCTTTATAAATTTAGAGACACTAAAAATGCAAACAATTATCGAGATGGAACTCTGCGGTCCAACCCTAACCGTGTTTCTCAACGATTCTGCCGATAAGTCAAGGAAAATACAGGGATTCAAAAATTTACACCTGTTCCAGGTACAAATTGGGCAAGGTATGATTGAAGGGATGCGTTACCTTCATAACCAGAACGTCCTCCATCGTGACTTGAAACCGGGAAACATATTCTTTACACGACCAAACGATGGTGATTTTTATGAATTGCCCATAAAAATTGGAGATTTCGGATTATCAAAACACTTGATTGGGCGTGAGGTTAAAAACTTGCCAGGCGACTGTGACGACAATAATAAGGACCAGTTTGATCTGACCCTTGAACGGGGGACACTTGCCTATCGGGCTCCCGAAGTGGATTGTGGTGTCTACGGGAAGCAGGCAGACATTTACAGTTTGGGTGGGTGAACTTTACCAATTATTTGCATAACTAACAACAATACAGATCTGTGTGCTCTCCGGTTTTAAATGAATTAGTCAGAATAATAATAATAATAATAAGGATTTATTCATTCCATTAATCAGTCCATTACATTTTAAGATAAGATAAGATCAAACCCTATCTAGTAGGAAATACTTGATCTTACAAGCTTTTAATTGCATAATGCCCAATATAATTAAAATACATTTTAGTTGCTTTGAGGTTATAATTTTAAACAATTTTAATTATAGCCCTTCCATTTTTCTTTAAAAAGTCCCAGAGCTCAAAATATGTATGTAGATTACAAATTTGATTTATAAATTGAGGATAACCCTTGCAAAAGCACTATCTGTCAATGGCGGAGATATTTGTATACAAATAGGAGCAAATACGTTATAAAATTGTGAAATTTCCAAATTTATTCCACATTTTCTTCACTTCGAATGCAAATCTCTGTGCCGCAAATGCTCATTAGTCTCCTTTCCAAACTCCATTCTAACTAATTTCACATCCGTTTAAACTATTTTGTTCAAAATCGGAGAGCATCTGCTGGGTAGCCTCCATTATGTAAATGATGTCATAATTAAAGCATAACCATTTAATTCTAGGTTTGACTTTTTGGGAAATATTTCAAGACTTAACACCCAACCGGAATGAAATGTTTGCAAAATTACAGGACACAGATCCATCCCACTTAATAAGGGAGCACCCCATCATCTCAAACTTAAAGCCGCTCATCATTTCAATGACGCAATTAAATCCGGCCAACAGACTAAAATCCATGTCAGACGTAACTCTTATTTCCGGCCGAGAAGAATCCACCATCCACGTGACAACTTCCGACGAATTTACCACCATTTTAGCAACTTGTTGTCAAGAAGTCACAATCTTTCTCACCGCTGGAGAATACCTTGGCCCATTCCTTCTCTCTCAAGAAAGAGTTATCATCCAAGGCGAAACTGATGAAAATTTCAATAACCTAGTCATCATTCGAATGCCACCCGAACTGGAAAGTTTCAGCGATCTATTCACCCTACAAGCAGATTATTGCGAATTGAAAAATCTCTCTTTTCAACGAGCTCGCTCCACCTATGATAAGACAGGGTTCGTCCTTTCCATTCCGGACGGCACATGCACCTTAGAAAATATTACGATTTCCGGTGGCACAACTGGGCTCCGATTCGGTGGAATATGTTCAACCGCGACAAACATAACGGTAACCGATTGTGCCCAATGTGCAATAATTGTTGCAGGATGGCACCAAACTTTGGAGAATATCGTGGTGACAAATACTGCATCCGGGATAAGCTTTAACGACACTGTTAAGCACGTCAAATTAAGCGATGTACAGCTAAAAGGTGTCCAAATTGGGGTGGAGGTTTGGGGGGAGGGGCATGAAATTAGGAATGTGACGTTGGAAAATTGTGAAGAGAGTATTTCAAAAATGGGGATGTATACACTTTCCGGGAAACATTGTATTATTGACAATTTTACTATTTGTCCGGAATTAAAACGGAATGGAAGTGATTTTCAAGGGCTGTTGTTTGGAAGTAGGTCTGACTCTATTGTGGTGAGTAATAGTAGGTGTGGTCCAATTGAATTGGATGGGGTGGGACATACCCTGATAAATGTGGATGTACAGGAATTTCTGCAGATAACTGGATCAAGTCATAGATTAGATAATTGTAAGGGAAAAGTTTTACGAACGTTTGAGTGCTATTATACTACTGTGGAAGACAATTGTAATTTTGACCATGAAGAGCATAAGTAAGACTGTGGGTCATATTATTGTCAAAATTGGGATAAAAGTATTTTTATGATGCATTTTTTACACAATTTTATTGATAATTAAAAAATTAGATGTGTACATATTTATTCTATGCAAACCTATGTTTATGTATGTCTACGTATGTATGTAAATCAAGTACTAAATAAAATACGATTAGTAAATTAGGTGTGTAATTAGTATAAAAATAATCTTAATTTAATGTTAAATAAGACGTAAGTAAGTATTTAAGCAAGTCATAAATTCATGTTTGAAAATATTAAAATAATCCCAAGTAGTATTCAAGGGTGACTATTATATGAAATTGGTTTTTGAAAAGTTACACCTTGAAGTACGTTATTCAAGTTTTGCTATATCGGAAGCAAATTTTTAAGGAACAGGATAAGTTTAATACCATTCGGTAGCAACTCGCAACTTTAATACGGAGAAATTATCATCTGCGTTATTGAATACATTTTGCCAGATTTCTGTCCAGTTTGCATACAGCGTTCGTATGTATGTATGCATGTGTGAAGCTATTTACATATGCATTCGGTTGATTATCAATACACCATTCATTCATTTATTACGTAACTCGTCCTCATAAAATGCAGATCCATTGCTAAATAGTCCTTCATCGTCAGCTGTGGAGCAATCATGCCGAAATCACAATTTTTCCGTACTCCTCCAATTAATTTAGCCTCGCTAAAATATGAATCTTACCTTGACGGGGATATTTATGGGGACAAGCTTATTTTCGTCGAACCCGGATCGAATATTTCTTCAAAAAATCATCCTGAAACCTTAGCAGTAACTTCGGACCAAGTACAAATTCCGTCACCATTTATCGTGCAAATTATTAAACCTCGAGAAACCGTGTATTACAGTTATATCTGCGAGTTTACAAATTATTACAAATTCTTCCACGAAAATAAAGTGAATCACTTTAAAATGAATCACTTTAGGCAACATTTTAAAAATTTTGCACTTTAGTGAAACAGTTTTATCGCTTCGCCAAATTAAGGAAATTCGTACCAAATTACCGAAAACAACCTTATCAGACCCAAGGGAAGCCACCTTTCTGGACTCATTTCTTCCTAAAGATGTCACCTTTTTCCCATGTATTTTATTAGAAAGTGAACAATTTGGTGACCGAGTGGACACCTGGATTGGACGGAATTCGCCCCTCTCAAAATTACAATTGGCACAAAATCCGCTCCGTTTAATGGAACTTTTAAAACTTCAAGTTGGCATTGTCCAAGGGCTACTGGATGGTTTGACTTATTTGCATTACAATCTAAAATACGTGCATGGATCCATTTCTCCGCAAAATATGGTGTTCTCCTCAGAAAGTGTGAAACTTTCTGGTAAAATTATTTTTTTCTGGGCGCAGACAAAACGTGTTGCGAGGGAATGAACTATCCTGGAAAGAAGGAACAATGGAGGGAGACATATTTGCGGCGGGAATTACAATTATGCAAATTACTCAGTTATTAGATAGTCCCATCAAGAATTACTCTGTAAATGGCTCCCCTAATTTTTTCCGTGTTGAAGATCATGCTCTAATTGGAAATATGAAAGAATTAATTGTCGGGATGACTCCGATTTTGGGAGGAAGTGAAATTCAAGACATAACCAAAATTGAGGATGCAAAGTTGCAAATAAAATCTGGACAAGAAATTCAAACCAGCAATCGAGGTCTGCCAGTGCATGCTCTTTATTTTGGTGAAATTGGTGTCAATCGAAATTTAATTAATATGAAAATTACGACAGGTACGATTTATTTGCGTTTATTTTTTGCATTTATTTTTTTGAGTTTTCTTCTCATGAGATGCAAATATCCATGCCTAGGGTGAAACGTGCCCCATGGACGAATTTTTGTGTAGAATTAAAATTAATTAATTTGGCCATCGATTGACATTGATTTGATAAAAATTTGAGAGCATATGCTGGGAGGCCTCGATTGTAGATAACTGAAATTTCTTTAAAGAAGAAAAAGAGTATAAATTGGAAACAGGACAAAACAATGTCGAGATGGTGGCAAGACTTGCAAATTTAATGGAAGACCCTGTAGGATACGTTTGGCTGAAGCATTTAACCTTTTTCGGACCACCACTTGGAAAAGGGTCCTACGGCGTTGTGCGGACTGCTTTTGATAAAAATACAAAGCGACATTCCGCCGTTAAGTTGCTAACTACGAGTGTAATTGAATCATCATGTGACTCCGGTGACGGTGCGGTTGAACCAAAATTGGAATTTACCAATGTGGAGGAATGTTTTCATACAAATTTGGTCAAATTGTATCAATTTCGTCAATTTTTTCAATCACGTGAGAGTGCATTATTTTATTTGTACACTGTTAGAAATCTGGTATATAATAATAATAATAATTTATTCATGACAATTCTTACAAGGCTCATGGCCCATAGAATTACAGGTTAGATTACATCGTAAAGAATTAAATAATAAATCAATAATACTACAATGACAATTATTTCCTTGCAAAATTATCCTGGGGGTTCTCGCTTAATAACATTCTACTAAATAAGCTTTGTGTATGTTAAAATACAGATTCTTAAACATTTGCATTATAACAAGAATAAGACAACTTGATTAAAACACAGTGATAGGGTACGAAAAACTCAATTAAAAATTAAAGTCACTGTTTGCAGGATTCAAGCACTAAAATCAAATAGATAACCATCAGACATAATTATCAAATTTATAAACGTAGAATAAGAGCATTATTATTCACAATTCCATCTCAACTAATTAGGTCAATACGAACGAATTCAATTGATCAAATTAAATAACTCATAGTCGTGGATTACTAAAATCAAACTATTAAATACTACGGCATAATTTATAAACGTAAAAAGTAAACAGGCAGTATTCACTGAAATCTGGTATATTTAATCAGGTATGTATGTATTGATTTCTCGATATTAAAGTTGCTACTGCTTGGTATTAAAATTATACCGGTCAGTAGAAATTTGAGGCCTTTATAACTTTCATACGAAGCAATTACTTCACGGTATTACTTATCAATCAACACCACTTTGGTTGGCTCATATGAACATCGCTTGGTATTATTGTAATACTAGATTTCTAAGAGTGTATAATTGTTCTAATTATGTTTATATGTAAATAGTGAACAATTAATTTAATTAATCCTTAGAGACATTTACCATTCAAACAATTATCGAGATGGAACTTTGCGGTCCAACATTGACTATGTTTCTCAACGATTCCAACAAATCAGGACAAATACAGGGTTCCAGAAAAAATTTACACCTGTTTCAGGTACAAATTGGGCAAGGTTTAATTGAAGGGATGCGTTACCTTCATAATCAGAACATCCTCCACCGCGACTTCAAACCAGGAAATATATTCTTCGCGCTACCAAAAGGTAGCCGTTCTTATGTATTACCCATCAAAATTGGAGATTTCGGATTATCAAAACAATTGATTGGATTGGAGATCGACAATTTGCCATCAGTTGGGTGTGATAAAAATGATAAGGACAATTTCGATCTTACCCTTAAACGGGGAACCCTTGCCTATAGGGCGCGGGAAGTGAATTGTGGCGTTTATGGGAAGCAAGTAGACATATACAGTTTAGGTGAGTCTTTCCGCTTGTTTGCATGCAGTGGCCTCGGATGCCGTGGGGGATCTCGGGATATAAATCTAGTAGAATAGCGAAGCAGGGTGGAAGGTTTACATAACACGGGCAGATGATCGAGAGATCAAATAACAGTGGGGGAGAAGTTGTCCCAGTGTTTCTACGCTTCCGAGGTCACTGCTTCCATGACTATTTAATCCGTAATTAACACATGAAATTAATTGGTTATAATTTATTCCCAGGTTTAATTTTATGGGAAATATTTCAAGATTTATCACCCAACCGGGATGAAATGTTTGCAAAATTACGAGACACAGGTTCACCTCACTTAATACCAGATCATTCTAAGGTGAGGTAAAAAACTATGGTTACATTTACACCTTAGTATGCATTCACCCCCCCCCCCTTCGAAAACCTTGACCGCTGCCTACAGCCAAGGGGGTGCGTTTTAGAGAAAAAAATAAAGAGAGCAAAAAATCAATTACGGACCTAATCTAGTGCTATTGAAAGGGATTTTTCGATATGACCTCCCAGAAAAAAGTTTTGATGGTGGTGAATGGTTGCGTTTCGCAATTTAAGTATGAAGGAGACTACCTACATAGCTGGGTATCTAAATTTATGAAAGATCGCCCCCACTTTCCTATAAGGGGAAACAGGAATTGGGTCAATTGGTTGAGAAACCAGCGACTTTTCCTTATAACGGAAATTTCCGAGTGGTTGCCATATAGTAACTATATAGTTACACCCTCGCCATGGAGTAATTTATACTTTTAGCCCGTGCCCGGGCTTATGGGACCGTCATGTGAATACGATAGCCTTGCAATTTTGCCATATTCATATTGGACAAAGTTAGGAAACAAGTTCGAAGGTGGGCGAAGTCGGTCAAATGATTTACCCGTGGGGGTCAGCTAACGAGGGAACCTCTTATAGTGCCCGGAGCTCCCAGCATAACCACTATGTACATTCGACGCAGATTTTAATACTAGTCCGATGATGTGACAAAATTTCCGTGTCAAAATGACATTTCGTCAAGTGGTGACGACTTTAGTGACGCGCCGAACGGTCACTTTCGTCCATGCTTTCAAAAGAGGAACGCTTTTCACCACTCGCTTCTCACTCATCTCACTAAAATCTCAACCGATCTACTCATTGAGTAAACTCCCCATCTAATTTAACTGTATTTGAATTATTGACAAAATCTTCCGCAAAACTCGGTCGACAATTTCAACTTTATTAACTGGAATTGATGAAGCGTTGGAATCCCCTGAATACCTGTCCTTTGCGATTTTAAGAACAGCCTCACAAATTGATACAATTATAGACATTCTATAATTTTTAAACTCCGAATATTTCAAGGTAAAAAATAATATTAAAAGACTACAAATAGTAAACAAGGATTATATTGTCAACACAGTTAAATTGGATGCGAGTTTACTCAATGAGTAGATCGGTTGAGATTTAAGTGAGATGAGTGAGGAGCGAGTGGTGAAAAGCGTTCCTCTTTTGAAAGCATGGACGAAAGTGACCGTTCGGCGCGTCACTAAAGTCGTCACCACTTGACGAAATGTCATTTTGACACGGAAATTTTGTCACATCATCCGACTAGTATTAAAATCTACGTCGAATGTACATAGTGGTTATGCTGGGAGCTCCGGGCACTATAAGAGGTTCCCTCGTAAGTGGGTGGGGTGCTATTCACCAGATTTCAAAATTGTAATAGAAAGCTGAAATTTGGCATACAGATTGTTAGTGGCTTCTAATGGAAGAATATGAATTCAGATAGGAAAAATTTTAATCTGGAGGGACCCTATGGGGTCACCCATACTGATTTCTCAAAATCATCAAATCGAGTTGTAATTTGGTACAGCGATTTCTACTCGCACCTACAACCTAAGGGAAGAATATAAACGGGAAGTGGGAAAATATTTATGTGAAGGGACCCTTTGAAGTCGCTAATTGTCCCCAATGGTGTCATATATAGCTTTAAGTTTACACATTAGCCAAAGCGCAAATTTAAGTGGGTTAGGCATATCGACACTTTTAAAACCTTTGCTGTAAATTTGAACGAATTAAATTGGTTCCGCAAGCCTAACGGTGTAAATGTTGCTTTGTAAATAACATGCAATAATGATTATGTTCTATATTTGCTTTTAAAATTCAAACTTAAAAAAGAATTAAATAAAACATATCTTGAAAAAGTAAAAAATTCTAAGGTGAAGAAGTGCAGTTAAAAGTACTAAACAAGCTCCCTCCGCTATCCAGATAATTTTACTTCGCCTGGGCTGCCCATTCTATGCAAAAAATATCTGCCAATATTAAAAATGAAATTATATGTATGTTAGTAATATTGGATGCAAAAAATATCGACAGAGACAGTTTTGGCGTCACGTAAGAAAAATAAGTTAGAATTCATTTCTTGGTCCAAAGCTAACTTTTGAATTAGTTAATATCCACATTTGGTGGCAATTCATACGAGTAATGGTTAATTCGTCCCAAAATATTTATTAATTATTTACATAACGACGTCAACATGACATGAGTTGAACATGTAAGTCAGAATGTATGAACTGATAAACCGGTATATTTTAAACCTATTGTATACAATTGCAAGACAACCATTGTTATTAGATTTGTTAGGTGACTCTTTGAGCGACTTATTTGCAACCTATTTTTATTACAACAGATATTTTTTGCATAGAATGGAGAGCCCAGACGAAGTAAAATTATCTGGATAGCGGAGGGAGCTTGTTTAGTACTTTTAAGTGCACTTCTTCACCTTAGAGTTTTTTACTTTTTCAAGATATGTTTTATCCCATTGTATCAAACTTAAGGCCGCTTATAATTTAAATGACACAATTAAATCCGGCCAACAGACTAAAATCCATGTCAGAAGTTACCCTCATTTCTGGCCGAGAAGAGTCCACCATCCAGGTGACAAATTCCGAAGAATTTACCACAATTTTAGGATTTGCGGACCATACATGGCAATCGTTTCATGGCAATCATTACATTGCAATTTTTACATTGCAATCGTTATAACACATTATCATTACATAGCATTATTTCTACATGGCTTTATTATTACATCGCACATCATTACATAGCATTATCCTTACATTGTTTTATCATTTCATAGCATATTCCTTTCAAATCAGCCAGCAAAACTTGTGAACGTACATATACATAAAACCAAATAAAACATCAATCGAACAAATAATAACCACAAAATTGGCTTTTTAATGGCACTTAATGGAAGATTATGAGTTGACATTAGAAACATTTTCATTCGTGTGAAAATTTTATGGGGTGACCCCCACCGATTTTAAAAAATTAACTTGGAAAGCTGAAATTTGGAATAGTGATGCCTTTGCTTTCTCATGAAATAACATGAAGTAAAATATAAACAAAAATTAACCAGAGTGGCACAAGGGGGTGGCCGATATCGATTTCCAAAAGGTGATATAATCAGCGCTGAAATTTAGTATGGACTCGGAAAATAACTTATGATTAGCATTTAGGAGGGCTGAATTTCGAAATTTTTGTATGGTCGACCTCCACTAGTCACGGGAAGTATTGAAGGGCAATGGGTAACAAATATTTTTAGAATTTGGAGCCAAGCAATACGAAGAATTGATGTTAGTTAATGTAATAATTAGTGCAAAGTAGTAGCACACAATTTTTCAGAAAACTATTGACAAACGTGGGTTTACTAATCAATCCTGGCTCGGGCTAAGTAAAAGCTGTCCTATTAAGTTTTAATATAATTGTTAATATTTTTATATATTATATTTGACACCAAATAATATTAACACCCTGGTTCATGGAATGAGTTTGTCATAACATAACACAGTTCAAACTTGTGTATGTGTAACGGAGATGATATGTAGCTTCATGCAATGTAAGGATAATGCTATGCAAGGATAATGTTATGTAAGGATATGCCATGTAGTGATCGTGCTATGTAGTGATAAAACTATGTAAGGATGAACAATGTAAGTCACCGCCATGTAAAAATTACAATGTAATGATTGCCATGTAAAGATTGCCATGTCTGGTCCGCGGACCCAATTTTAGCAACTTGTTGTCAAGATGTCACAATTTTTCTCACTGCTGGAGAATACTTAGGCCCATTTGTCCTCTCTCAGCACAGAGTTATCATTCAAGGCGAAACGGATGAAAATCTCCCTTCTAAAAATTTAGTCACCATTCGAATGCCACCCGAACTGGAAAGTTTCAGCGATTTATTTATCATATCAGGAAATTATTGCGAATTAAAAAACCTCAATTTTCAACTAGCCCCCTCCACCTTTGATAAAACAGGGTTCGTCCTTTCCATTCCGGACAGCACATGCACCTTAGAAAATATTGCGATATCCGGTGGCACAACTGGGCTCCGATTCGGTGGAGTATATTCAACCGCGACAAACATTACTGTAACCAATTGTGCCCGATCTGCAGTAATTATTGCAGGATCGCGCCCCACTTTAGAGAACATCGTGGTAAAAAACACCATACATGGGATATGGTTTGGGGGTAAGGTTAATCATGTCAAGTTAAGCGATGTTCTGCTAGAAGGGGTCCAATTTGGGGTGGAAGTTCAGGGGGATGGGCATGAAATTAGGAATGTTAGCTTGTCAAATAATAACTGTGAAGAGAAGATTAGCCCACTTTCAGTAACTGGGATGCACATTGCGTCCGGGAAAAAATGTATAATTGACAATTTTACTATTTGTCCGGAATTAAGATGCAATAAACAGAATGATTTTAAAGGACTGATTCTAGATAGTAGATCGGAGTATAATACAGTAAGTAATAGTAAGTGTGGGCCAGTAGATTTAGATGGAGTAGGAAACACGCTGAGAAATGTGGATGCAGGCGAGTTTTTGACACAGATTAGTGGGATTAATCATAGACTAGATAATTGTAGAGGGAGAGTTTTACAAACGTATGAGTGTTATGATACCATGGTGGAAAGCAATTGTGAATTTGGGAAGGAATTACACAAAGAAAAATAAGGGATATGTGATAGAGAAATATATTTTTTGCTGCGTTATTTCAATGGAATTTAATTAGATTGTAGTGAAAAAATAAAGAATTATGTTGATATTTATTATATTTGGGTAATTAAATTCAAGTGCTAAGACATATTTTTGTAAGATATTTCACTAATTCGGTGTGTATGTACATATGAAAGTATTTTTACACGGTTTTTAAATAAGGCTATATTACAATTCTCATAAAATTAACCTGCAACAATCAAACCATACGGAAAAATAAATCGTGATTAATTCCTTGAAACTGATTTAATTCGATTTAAATTTAATGTATTTAACAAATATCTTTATCTGTGGTAGGTTTAAAATTGTTAAGTCCCTTAACTAAAAGTCATGCATTTTTAAAGTGTAGAGTAAGAATTATAGGACTCGACAAAGACATCCAACGAGTATTTCAAAAGTGAAATTAAACTATTTTATTATGTTCACCTTATAAAAAGAAAAAAATTGCAAAATATTTTAGGCGCCAAAATTTTCCCTGTGGAGTTATGAGACTTTTGGGATTTTAAAGTGATGGCATAGGGAACAACTTATTTCAGGAACGGGTTGATAGAATTGCACAAAATTTTTATCCTACACTCTTTGGATCAGTACCTAGATGCGTTCTTCGAATTGAGTCGAAATTCCAACTTTAAAGTCCAAAATTTTAATTTCGAAAAATTGGTTTTTAGTTGTGACGCAAGAAGTATGGCGAAATGTTCGTCGATTGGATTTACCCCAATTTTTGATATGTTGCAGATCTTTGGTAGTAGATTAATAGTTAAATTACCCTAAAAGTCGAAATCGACATGCGTGACCTTTTTCCGGGGGTCGAAAGGTCGCGATGTCAAAGGTCACCGACCTCAATAAATGGGGTATCGTTGGAAAGGTCTTGACGAGAGGATTCCGAAAATATATACTTTGTGTGGTCTGGGACAACCCTCTGCAAGTCTAGAGGGCAAAGAACGAAAATCTGCAGATGTCCAGAATTTAACATAGCAGTGGATTGGGAGCTAACACGGAAGCACAAATGGGAAAAACTCAAAAATATTCTCCTGGCTCTATATTTGCATGGAGTGGTCCCACACCCTAGAAAGTATATATTTTCGGAATCCTCTCGTCAAGACCTTTCGAACGATACCCCATTTATTGAGGTCGGTGACCTTTGACATCGCGACCTTTCGACCCCCGGAAAAAGGTCACGCATGTCGATTTCGACTTTTAGGGTAATTTAACTATTAATCTACTACCAAAGATCTGCAACATATCAAAAATTGGGGTAAATCCAATCGACGAACATTTCGCCATACTTCTTGCGTCACAACTAAAAACCAATTTTTCGAAATTAAAATTTTGGACTTTAAAGTTGGAATTTCGACTCAATTCGAAGAACGCATCTAGGTACTGATCCAAAGAGTGTAGGATAAAAATTTTGTGCAATTCTATCAACCCGTTCCTGAAATAAGTTGTTCCCTATGCCATCACTTTAAAATCCCAAAAGTCTCATAACTCCACAGGGAAAATTTTGGCGCCTAAAATATTTTGCAATTTTTTTCTTTTTATAAGGTGAACATAATAAAATAGTTTAATTTCACTTTTGAAATACTCGTTGGATGTCTTTGTCGAGTCCTATAATTCTTACTCTGTAATGTTTAGCACAAATGACAAAGTGGATTACTCCATATGAAGTGGGTTAATTTTACAAATGAGGTGCATATAGGTACTACCTAAATTAATTTGAGATACTTAATTATTAATCATTAAAGTATGAAAGTATTTTTTATTCCTTTACGAAACAAGAAGTACCTAGATGAGTGCTTTCGCCCCATTCATTAATTGCCTTTGCATGTATGTATGTATGCATAGCGTTCTCATTGTTGCAGACGGTACTAAAATATGATATTGAATTTAGTAAATTACGCCTTATAGTTTTCCGTTGAATATATGAAGGAGCTTTTTCCGAAAGTTTCTTACCGATCTGACTAAATGGGGAACCCTAATACAAAGTAAATCGTGTAGTCCAGCACGTTGTAGAAGTACGAGGTTTTGAACTCGTTTGAAATTGCGGCCGGCGTGGCTCCACCAATTGTTTGGAACGAAAATACCCTTACAGCCGACACCTCTTTGACAAAGAGCGCTTTTCTTGATGCACAGCGATTTTTCATGCTCGTCAGTCCAGCAGTACCTTCCTCGTGAGCCGTTGCCATGATGTAAATCAGCCCCGCCATCACGATTGCGCAGATCACCGCAAGGTATGGAAGCACCCAGTAGTACAGGGCAGGAACTTTGTCAAATAGCATCAATGTTGCGTAGTTACTTGCAACCTAAGGGTAAGCAGTAAGATAATTGGTATAAGCAATTTGGACGTTTTAAGTAGAACTTCGGTGCCGAAAATGTAAAAAGTTAAAAGCCATATGTAGAATAACGAAGATCTGGTAAAGTTTTTTTTTTAATTTGGCGCCACGTTAAATTTTCCATTTTCCCCACCTAATTTCAATATTTCCTGTATTTGTTGATGCACGTATTAAAACTGCTCAGGTCGTAAACTACGTAAACAGACCAACCTGAATCGAGAATCCGATGAAAATGCTCAACGTCGTCATGATATTTAGGGGTCGACGTATCATTGTAAATATCAATATCAATTCACGATATCTTACCAATCCCTGGCCCATATGAATTTTTACAAGTTGTTTCCACATGGTTTGCGCTCTGTAGAATATGTTCGCCATGAAGAGAACCACCAGAACTAGAATCACAATGACCCGAGACCCTTCCAAGAAAAGGATTAGAAGAGACGAAAAACGGATAAGTAATAAGGCCAGTTGGAGAAAGCGATTCGAACCCAAGTTCCTTGAGTTCAGGACAAGGACGTAGTAAAGTGGATCCCATCCCATGACGACTTCAATGATGGCGGCAGCTATTGACGACATGGTGTAGGATTTACATACGACGACCGCAATTCTCCGAATCATATGGCTTGTTTTGATTCCATTCATATTGCGCGGGCAGGCTAGTTGGTACATACAAATTAAATGTCAAACATTGTTTATTAATTAGGCTGACAGATGAACAAACTTACAGTAGTCTAACCGGACAAGTAATTTATACAGGTGTTCTTGAAGGATGACACCAAGTCTCCAGTTTGCGATAACTGGTACAAATAGAGATATAATGGTGCAACCGAAACAGAACACGATCGTATAAGACCAGCCAGTTATTATCGGCACATTGATTTCGGGTTTCGGCAGAACGTTCGTAACGTTGATCAAGTGGCTTGCAATGATTATGCCTCCAGGAATCGAGCTAAAAATTATTGTGAACACAATTCGGCACCAGAAAGCTCGAAAAGTGCCTAAACGTACGTCGACTTGGAGGAATGACCCGTCTCTGTCAATGGTCAGGGGGCATTTTCCAAATAACCTGCTGGATTCTATAATATCCATGTAGGCTTCAAAAACACCGAAGATTTCTGTCTGGAATGATCGTGACATAGCGATCCTTACAACGCCTTGATGAAGGGGAAAGTCCTTTGTAAATGCCTTAACAAGAAAATGAATATGCAACGCAGTAATTATTAGTGTATTATTTGGTCTGGGAAATTTGAAATCAATAAAACTGGGCTGGTGACATATTGTTCGCGCATATTATGTACTAACAATAAGGAAAAATTTGGGATTTAATCCATTAATAAGTAATGCAACAAATTTGAAATGAGAAATTAATTATTTATAAATCGATTAATAAAGTTTGATTGCTGAAAGCAAGTGTAGGCGGGAAGATACATATGCAAAGTATGCTTCGTGAGATGTATGTATGAATACCACATTTTATAGACACAATTGATTGGTGAGGCGTCAAATTGACCCAGTCACATTGACCCACGACACATTGACCCGCTCATATTGACCCGATACCATATTGACCCAGCGACAGATTGACCCGGCACCATATTGACCCAGCGACAGATTGACCCAGCGACAGATTGACCCAGCACCATATTGACCCAGCGACAGATTGACCCGGCACCATATTGACCCAGCGACAGATTGACCCAGCGACAGATTGACCCAGCACCATATTGACCCAGCGACAGATTGACCCGGCACAATATTGACCCACGTCATATTGACCCCATGCTATACCTGGACATACTGTATTTTTCATACAAAAAAACTTAACTTTATTTCATATTTCATTTCTGGTCAAATATTCCAATCAAAAATTGAATTGTTCTAATAATTATTAGTCCTCCTTTTGTAAAATTCCTTAATCTATTAGTAACGAAATCATTTAACCAACGGTACTAGTATACTAGTACGGTAATAATACCTATTGTAATAGGTATTTGTATTAAGATTCTTAATTTAAGAAGAGAGAGTGCACATGCAATGAACATAAGCCCCTAAGTGTTTTGATGGTATGACCACATTTGCGCCCACCACACCCACTCAATGGGGGCAAATATTAAGAAAATATCATCAAACGGTTGACAAAAATTTTATTTTGTTCAGATTTTGAAGATGCACTGTGTAGCACAGTGTAGTCGTCCAAGCAATGTGAAGGCAGCCTTTTTGCTATTGCTTCATGCCTTTTTCAATGCCCTATTATCTTTTTGCGTGCCGTTTTGGCTTTTTGATGCCTTTTTCTCTTTTATGTCTCTTTGCCCGATTTTTGACGACGGCACCCGGTTTCTTGTCGTTTATAAGTTATAAATTATAACGTATTAAAGAAATTACAGAATATATTTTATGTTTTTGAAATTGTATCGGAGGGTTGTGGCTTTCATCAATACTTTAAATTAGCCTCACATAAGAAAAAGACGACCAATAATTATTAGAACAATTCAATTTTTGATTGGAATATTTGACCAGAAATGAAATATGAAGTAAAATTAAGTTTTTTTGTATGAAAAATACAGTATGTCCAGGTATAGCATGGGGTCAATATGACGTGGGTCAATATGGTGCTGGGTCAATTTGTCGTTGGGTCAATATGGTGCCGGGTCAATCTGTCGCTGGGTCAATATGGTATTGGGTCAATCTGTCGCTGGGTCAATATGAGCGGGTCAATGTGTCGTGGGTCAATGTGACTGGGTCAATTTGACATGCAATCCAATTGATTAGATTACAGATATTTGTATGAAGTAAAGCAGACCAAATAGTACAATTACTTGTCCAGTATATAAGGAGAACGAATTGTTAGTAAATGAATTTTCTGAATTTATTATTTATCTGTAATTAATTTAGTTATTGGAATACCTCACATCCACGTACATATGTATGTACTAACCAATATGTTCCAATTTGCATGTGCATAATTGCAAGGCATCAGGAATTAATCTGCATACATTAAGTTCATAGCAAATAAATATCTATAATCTATCTCATAATGATGAGTTTACATCTCGTTTTTCTGAAGGTTTCCAATTTTTTTCAGGAAAAATAGAATTGGGTAAAATTTTTATGCAATTCCTGTAATATTATTAAGTATGCGGAAATTTCGCTTTTCAAGTTGGTAAATAATAACTTGTGGAAAAATTATACATGCTCATTTATTATCATAATATGTACATGCACATTTTCAAGAGATACCGAATGTTGAAATTTCTAGAGTTGGTGGAAGGCATGTTTAGTCGTATTTCCCAGAAATCTTCGTTGTTTTCACAATTATGTAAATAATACATGGCACATTGACTGACCCCAACTTATCTACACGTAATAATTCTTTATTGCGTGCTCATATTTATGTATGTATGTAAACTCAATCTATCTATGCATACATAAGTAACAAGCTAATTAACTGATTCAGACAAAACTGCCAGATATGTAGCGATGTCGTACTGTCGAAGAAATTACTGTGACTAACAAAAATTTTTGTTGGTCGACAAGCCGCTACATATTTCCTTACAAATTTAGATCTCCCACCACATTTCTTGAGGGACACGATCAATTCGCAAGACTTCGTGAAAGGGTACGAACTGGCTTTAAAGACGGCATGAATCACCCCAGCAAGGTTGATCGCCACGACAAATAGTAAAGTAGCGATGGGCGTGGGAAGTCGTTCCATGGACGAGATTAAGGAATGAAGGGTCATGATTTCTACAATGATTACTACACTAATGCTGGCCATCATTGGCAAATTTCGCCAAATCTGGTTAAAGGTGTTGGTCAGGATTTGCACTCGTATGTAGGTTGAGATGGTGGCCCGGTGGTTTTCCAAAGTCAAACATCTGAAATATTTAGGAAATATATTTCCCATTTATTATCTTGGTAATATCACCGTCAATTTTCAAATTATTATCTCATCGTGAGATCAAATGAATGGGTGGTAAATTATATCCAACACTGATATATGTACTGATGAGGTGACAAATATGTAAAGACAAATATGTAACCCATATTTATGTATGCAAACGACATTTATGCAACCCGACAAATATTCAACGTGATGCATACGTAAGCCGCAGATAGATATGCAAAAGAGAAATATGCAACACATATTTGTCGTATCACCAATGTACCAACATTTTTAGATAAGTGCATAAAAGTTTAAGTTTAATTGTACCTTATCAAGGAACAAAGTTGTTTCCTTATCACTTCCATTGGATAGAACCACGCCATCAAGATAACCATTACAACAGCACTGCACATCATCGACCAGGTGTACGTGACCTGCACAGTGCTTAGCAACCTGATGAAAATTGAGATATCGGTATTATTGCCATCTCCAGACCAAGAGGAGCATTCATGAATGTACATCCTTGCCGTGATCGCGGGAGGCATGCAAGGTTTGATTAATGCCAGGACAAATATTGAAAATGGTAAGAGGACGATGGAGATTTGACCACTTATACCGGCAGTAATAAAGATGCGGTGATTCCAAGAGGTTCCACTCTCACCTGAAACATTTGCACACTCTTATAAACTTCTCTTACAATGCGATAGTGTGAAGTGTAAACTTCCAATTTTGTTGAAATTTTAAAATTACCTATGTGGTCCAGGCCTATACAGCCAACGTTTCTTGAAGAAGTTTGTGCGATGGATGGAATTTGTCAAAATATTTGAGGTCAAAGTTGAAAAAATGGGCGATTTTTCCCTTTGAAGAGATTGGACATGGTAAAAATCGCCCATTTTTTCAACTTTGACCATAAAAGTTTTGCCAAATTCTGACCATCGCACAAACTGCCGGAGGAAATGTTGGTTGTACTGACATTGATGGACCACATAATTTCGAAATTTCAACCAAACCGCAGGGTTACACTGCACACCATCGCATTGTGAGTAAATTTGAATTAGTGTTGAAATTGGGCAACACATTTGATCCTGCCCCTAGAGAAGATTAATTACTTGTATACATGTTATTCCCACCTACATAACGATTTTTACCAATGCCATACGTTAATTAAATAAGATACTCCTAACATTAAAATTTCGATCTAAATAAATCAGAATCTATGAAATTGTTTACCTGCTAGGATAACTTGTTGTTCCAACTCAACCACAGAATTGAACAAAAAGACGCTCTCCCTCTTTAACCAAATGGCACATAGGTAACCGCAAGACAGGAAAATGTAGACAGTCAGGAGGTAACATATTACTACAACTTCCCAAATTTCCGAGAAAACTTGACCACGGAAAGACTTCCAGGACAAGTTAAGTATTAAAATCAAGTGAACGAGAACGTTTGACCAGGCAAAAATTGAGCGCGAAAACCCCCATAAAGATGTCGTTAGGCGAAATTTTCCATCAGCCAGATGCACGGGGTAAGGTGACAGGAAGAAAAATACTTTCGACACGCGGGTAACTATTTTAATACCGGAGTTATAATTTATGATGGCGCGCGTCAATTGCTGACCATGTGATGAAAGTAGTTTTTGGAAAGCGCGAAATTTCTGACATATTTCGGGTCTTGTCAGAATTTTAAGGTTATTTATTCGATACGAAAATACGTTGAGGGTATTCATCACTTGTTCGAAAGTTGATAAATTTGCGACATTCAATACCTGCGAAGAGATTAAGAGAAAAATGACGTGGTCTGGTTATTTTTGAATTGACAAAACTCCATCTTCGTGCAAAGTGATGAGTTTAATATCAAAATAATTTTTACACGGCATTTGTACATATTTGGCAATCAAACCATTCGTCAGATTAATTTCCCTAGTGGATAATTTTTTTCGTAAATTGCTTCAATTTCAAACAATATGAGAAACGTGTACAAAAATGATTCAATAACTATTTGTTGAAGTAATTTGGGGCACATGTAACTCGTGTATTAAACAAAGTTGTTGATTTCAATTTTTATGTTTATAAAATTTGAGATAAGATTTCTGAAATTCTTGGAATAGAAGGAGACTGCTGTTTGAAATCTTATAAGGAAATACATAAATCGAATGATGTATTCGTATCTACATATACAGTTGATCACAAAGGCTAAACGTTTGTGTTCAAGAGTAATATCAAGAAGCCAGTAATATATAAATCAAGTTGTTGTTATTAAGTACTTAAAAAGCCGTTACGAGCTGAGGATATCAAGGTTTAGAAAATTATTGTAATCAATAAGAAATAAATTTTGTGATATTAACAACATAAACCTGCGTAGTTACATACTTTTATGTGTACATGTTCCTAAATATGTAATAAGGACATTGCGGTTGTTTTTTACCATCATATGTAATATCGAATCTGATAAAAAACAATTCAAAAAAGTAATTAATGCTTATCCGACGAGCAGCTTTTCCAAAATTGCTTTTCAATCAATACAATAATAGTTAGTGTACACTCTCAATAATTTTTTGACGATATTGTTACCGGCGGAGGTACTATGCAATTCTACCGCTCGGGTAATAATTTATCACCGAAGGGTAGCATATATACAGAGGCTAAATCCTGCTCGACCCCCAATGTCAACGCTCAGGTAATAAAAATGTTACCGATATC